AAAATAATTAAGAAAAACACATTTCACGAACATTTTCAGAACATGTAATGATAATCCCTGAAACGAACTTTTTAAAAATCCACGTTTAATAGCGGAATCAAATTTTTCAATAATTACAGGGAAAATCCAGCGGAATATGAAAGTAGAGCTAAAAACATAAGACACTTGTATCGGCGTTTTTAAAATTTACTTCGCAAAGTAACTCAAATATAGGGAGCAAGTCCCTCCCTCTTCCTCATTTTTATACCCCACCATACTATGGAGGGTATATTAATTTTGTCGTTCCGCTTGTAACTCCTCGAAATACTCATGTCAGACCCAACAAAGTATATATCTTCTTGATCAGCGTAAAATTCTAAGACGATTTAGCCATGTCCGTCTGTCTGTGTGTGTGTCTGTCTGTCTGTCCTTCTGTCTGTCTGTCTGTTGTAATCACGCTATCTTTCGAACAAATTGAGATAGAAGGCTAAAATTTTGCACACATGTTTGTTTTTCTAGTAGGCAGGTTAAGTTCGTAAATGGGCCATGTAGGTCCAAGTTATATATAATGGTACCCCCCGATATTCGGTATTTTGATGATTTTAGCGACATTATTTACCGGAATCGTTTCAAAGTTGGCATTTGAAGTTCGTAATAGATGCTGCAGCATAAAACAGAAAATGGGTCATGTAGGTCCATGTCTTCGTATAGCCCCCATATACCGTACCCCCCCCCCCCGATATTCGGTATTTTGATGATTTTAGCGACATTATTTACCGGGATTGTTTCAAATTTCGCTGTGAAGTTCGTAATGGATACTTCAGCCCATGCCAGAAAATTGTCTGTGCAGGTCCACGTCTTCGTATAGCCCCCATATAACGGTACCCCCTATATTCTGTGTTTTGATGATTTTAGCTACATTATAAACAGATTTTTCTTCAAGTTTTGCATTTAAATACTGTAATAACTTATGACAAAAGTTGCCTATGCAGGTCCACGTCGTCGTATAGGCATTCTGTATTTTTAAGACTTTAACAGAATTTTTAACTGATTTTATTTATTTATTTATTTATTTTTTTTTTTTGGAAATTGTCAAATTTGTACCAAATGGTGGAGGGTATTAAAAGTTCGGCCCGGCCGAACTTACAGCTTTTTTACTTGTTTTTCTTTTTTTTTTTTTTTGAAATTTTTGGATTAGGATTCCTTGGAATTCTTTGATTTTAGGTATACAGGGTGAAATAAAAAACTGCAACAAAGTCAAACGACATAATTTTTACATTTTTTTTCAAATTTTATTAAATGAAAGTAAAAATGTCGGAAATAGCATCTAATTTTAGAACTGGTCACCTTTGGCACCATTTATGGCCTTTAAACGACCAATGAAACCGTCACACGCTGCCCGAAGCACTTGCTTGAGGTGATCAACACTTTGGTATTTTTTAGTGCCAACCTTGCTTTCCAAAATACTCCAGACACAATAGTCCAACGGATTGGTATCCGGAGATTTTGGTAACCATTGTGCGCTGGAAATGAGGCGAGAAACCTCATTTTGTAACTATTTTTGGGTGGCGCTTGCTGAGTCTTGTTGGTATGTCCAAGGTCTCCGGAAGAATATTTTCGCGATAATATTCGGCATTTATTCTGATGCCACGGTCGATTAATACGAGCGGAGAGCGACCATTGGCTGTTATGGCGGCCCACACCATCACCATAGCCGGCGCTTGAGTTCTGGTGGCCAACCGAAGGTGCACATTTCCAGCTGACCTCTATGGCAACACGACAAGATCAAACAAGATCAGTTTGTTTGATTACAAACTGCTGGACAAGGAATGTTTTCTCATCGGAGAAAACCAAATTCGGCACTTCACCAAGAGATTTATTCACATTAAAGTGCTGAAGTGCTCTAACGATAGCCACTTGTGGGTTTCCAGCCAAATATAAAGAAATCACACTATCACGCTTGAGGATCTTCACGAATAACTGTTTTTCTGGAAAATCACCATCTCTCCAAAATGCTTTTGTACACTTGTAAACAATATAATAAGATGTCACTGGCATAATTTTAAGAGCTGTCGGACGAGTGGTTTAGAAATGACAGCAGTCTGAAGTTGGTTGCAGTTTTTTCACCTCAAAGATTTTGAAAACAAATTATATTTCAATCCAAGATACCAGCAAAGACCTCAATATAAAATTTCGGGATTTCAGCTATGTCCCTTCACCCAATATCAAATTTTGTGCTTTTGGTACCAAAGCATCTTCACATCTCAATTCCAGATACCAACAGAGACCACAATATAATATTTTAGGATTTCAGCTTTATTCATTCACTCAACACCAAGATCAGTACTTCTTGTAAAATTGTAGTACACATTCCCGAAACCACCTCTATATGTCCAGGCTAGACATAAACAACGACCCTAATACCAAATTTCAGATTTCAAGCACTATCTGTTTACCCAATACCATATTGTACGAAAAATAGTACTATTTAGTACTTTTTGTGCACTTGTAGTATACATTTCCAAAATCACCTCTTTATAACAAACCTACCACTAGCAGAGACCCCTATACAGCATTTCACAATTTTAGCTTCTTCCGTTCGCCCTAAACCAAACTCATCCAATTTTAGTACCTTTAGTACAGTTCGCACACTTAGTACACATTTCCAAAATCACCTTCATATATCGAACATACTTTTCAATCAAGGTTTCAAGTTTTTATCTCTATCCGTTCGCATAATACCAAATGGTATCATTTTAGAAGTTCAGTACCATAGATTATTTCGTAACCTTAAAGTTCGAATTTTCAAAAATCCTTTTATGCATCTATCCTGCACTCCATCAGTGATTCTCATTCCAAATTTAGGCTCATTCCGTGTGTCAACTACAAAGTATTAATTTTTTAGTACATTTTAGTACTCACCACTCTTTTTTAGGTGATAATCATTTTTGGAAGAATATTGAAATGAGCCTGAGATATAGTGGACCGAGGTATTTCACTTCATCTAATACTGAACAAAAAAAGTATCGGAATGTTTAAATTTTAAAGAAAATCGAACATTTATTTATAATTTTATGCGATTAATTGTTTTTGTTGGGGAGGTACCAGAAATTATGGGCTTTGGTAAAATTTGAAGAGAATCGGATGCCCATTTCGCTTTTTAAGAGCGGTATCATATTCAAAATGTTTACCTAATTTGTGGGCGAGGTACCACAAGGAGGAACCGATTTATCCATCCATCCACCATCCATAACCATCTTCCCTAGCAGGTCTTGTGTTAGTGGAAATATTAGAACTTAAGAAGAGTATCGGATGCTTATTTCGCATTTTATGAGAGGGACGTTGTGGAGCGGCCCATCTTCACACCTGATCTTGCATTTGTATAAATATTTGGATATGTGAAGTTTAGAATGAATCGGATGCTCATTTCCCATCTTATGAGCTTCATGGTTGTTCAAAATTTTGACGCGTTGTGGGTAAGGTACCTGAAGGAGTGGTACGTCCTAGCCGTCCTTCATATTAGCTCTTGTGTTGATAGACATATTGAAATTTGCGAAGTTTGAAGACAATCGGACTCTTCATTAGCATTTTATAAAAATTAACATTTATATGGGAGAGGTACTTAATGGAGCGTGCCAATATTGTCCATTTTTGCACCTGACGAATATTAGGACTAGTAAAATTTGCACAAAATCGAATGATCCTTTCTTGTTCTATGAGGAAAGTTATTTTCTATGACCTTTTCTTTGACCTTTTGTGGGAAGATATCAGTAGAGGTGGACGGATATTTCCCATCTCTGAACCCTATCTAAGTTAAATAATGATATTCCGCAGAACTAAGTTTAGATCTAGTCGAATACTCCCCTCGAGAGTTATCGGGCTCACCAGCCAGACAGGCAGAGGGACTGACGAGCACCTCTAGGTCGACTCCAAATGTCCTGAAAAGGTTTTGTCCAAAGAGACCTAGGGTCTAAAAGCGTTATTTCGACGAGACACGTTATAGGCCGTACCTGAAGGTATGAAAATGTATTTTCTTCAGTTCTCATTTTCTTCTTCTCGGTTTCCACTGTAATTCGTTTTGTACATCTGATCCACATATAAACAAAAACGCTGCTGCTGCTTTTCTCGTTTTTCACTCTCTCAGTAGGGAGATGAAATTTCATTGTGTATACATTTTCAAAACAAATCGGAAAAACAAGATGAAAAACGATGATCGAGGGAAATTGAGAATCTATAACTGAAATATCTGTTTAGAATTTCGTAAGCATTGGCGGAATGATCGGTTGGTCGGCCGGGTGGTCAGTCGGGTGTTTGGTTTGCTGCAAAAATTCTGAAATTGAAACAGAAGAAGGGGAGGGGAAGAAGAACAATTTCCAAGTGTAAGAAGAAAAACGTGTGACGTTGAAAACCCGTGTGGAAAACATAAACATGGAATTGGAGAACATAGAGTTGTATCACTGAGTGGTTAAAAAGAAGTGGCAGCGGCAGCAGAATATCGCATGCGGTGATTTAAGATATTTTAAGATTTCTTTTCACAATCAGTAATCGATGGCGATGTGGTGTGGCGGGGTGTAGTGTGGCATGGCATTCAGAGAACGAGAGAAAAACAACAAAAAAAACAAACAAAAACATAAAATGCGTAACCAGAAGCTGGCTGGCTGGCTAGCTATCCATACGATCCGATTATATTTCAAAATACAAAACGGACAAATGCCATGAAAACAAAAACAACAGCAGCAACGGCAGCGGCAGTTCAACAACAAGGATGGGGGGCAAATTTCTCATTTCAAAATACCTACCCACGCAAAGTCTAAAAACAAATTATTTCAATAGTATTAAACAGTAGCAGCCGCAGCAGCAGCAGGAGCAACAACAACAACAAGGCATTGTGGAAATAATATATGGCCCACATATTTATTTCAAAATTTTGTGATTTTAAAATCAATAAAAATATTATTCCACCCAAAATAATTTATACTTTCTAAAAATAACAGTTTTCTATTTTCTCTTTTTCGTTACAGTTTTGCAAAAATAAAATTGGAAATCAAAACAAAAACCAACCGATTATGTTTTGAAATTGTGTAGAACGGAGTTTTTTCTGAAAATCTCAACAAGTTACAATACTTTTCAACATCAACATGCTACAACATCCCGCCACTGATTTCTACGACTTGGCTGCAGCGAATGCTGCGGTCTTGAGTTCACGTCAAACTCCTCCCTACAGTCCCACGGGTCTAACGGTGGCGGGTTTGAATAACAACAACACCAGTACCAGCAACAATAATTTGGATATGCTATCCCACAATGGTAGCCTAACGAATAGCACGACTGGTAGTGGAGGTGTTGGCGGTGGTGGTGGCGGCGGCAGTACAGCCCATTTGCTGGCTAGCCAAAATAGTAGTACAAATGGTGGCGCCACCAACGGCGGCGCTAACGGTCGTGAATCTCTGCCCAGTTTCGGTTTCACCCAGGAACAAGTGGCATGTGTTTGTGAGGTAAGTGGAGAAGTGATAAAAACTTATTCTGAAAAAATTGCGGTTTCAAATAACATCCTGTGTGTCTTGGAGCCTTTAAAGGAAAACGAAGGAAGGAAAGGAAGGATTTTAAGAATTTTGGGCTTCAGATCCCATATCTATTTTCATAGAGAGCACAGGGTTTTCAAAAATGTATTTTATGCTTATTCTTGTAATGCTAAGTATTGGAGGTAAAAAATTAGGTAATAATATTGTGAAGAGTGTCGATAGTGAGCTCATGTTTTTGCCGTACCTAACATCAGGCCTTGGAAAAACTCGAACGAGTTTCACTCTTTACTTGAATTTGAGCAGGGACACTGCTGAGAGTAGAACAAGTAAAAACTCAGCTAAGTTCGGTCGGGAGGATCTTTTAATACCCTCCATTGGAAGGAACTTGAAAATTTTCAAAAATTCCGAAAAATGTAATTTAAATGATAATAGCTCCCGTATAGGCTATACGAATACGTGGACCTGCAATTTTTTGTCATGGGCTTTAGTACCCATTAAGATTTTCAAATACGGAATTTAAAATAATTTCATCGAATAATGTCGCTAAAATCGTCAAAATACAGAATAAAAGGGAGGTGCCGTTAATTCGTTCGAAAGAAAGCGTGATTACAACAGACAGACAGACGTCCTAGAATTTCACGCTGATCCAGAATATATATACTTTTTAGAGTCTATCATAAATATTTCGAGGAGTTACAAACGGAATGACAAAGCTAAGATACCTTCCACAGATAAAAATATCGAGCATACTCTATTTTCCTAAGTCGCTCGAAAAAGAGCGAGCATTCGGTTAGCAAAATTGAGCAAATTCTACTCTTGGTGAGCACTCTTTTATTGTATTGTCGCAAATCTGTACCAAGAAGTAAAAAAAATTTCCGGATCCTTGCATCTTTTGTTTTTCCTTTGCCAGCGAACCAAATGTCGGACGTCCGATACGTCTGCTCAATATCTGAAGTTTTGTCAAATGAGTCTGACCGACGTTTGTCCGAAATCTGCAAATTTGTCTGAGGTATTTATTTTCTCTTGTTGTAGTGTTATTTCCCTTATGTTTGTGTGGTAACATTTGTGGTAAACAAGGAAACAAGGGAGTGTCTCTCTCTCTCTTTCTCTCCCTCCCTCTCTCTTTGAGAGTAGCTAAGCTTTCGAGATTTATTGCTGTTGGTTTTTATCTTTATATTATGACACTTATTATAAATATGTACATCAGGGGCTGCATTCTTGTCACGTCAACCTCTCCATATAACTTTCGGTCAGAAGTCGGACCGAATACGCATACGAAATCGGAAGTTTTAGCCGACTTTCAGACAGTAAAAGTACAGTACCTCCACTACGGTTCCCAGTAACCTCCAAGCATTGTCGTATTGAACTCCCACTCTTCGAACACTCCCACTCGCGAGTATGTTTAACTCCCAAGCGAAAAGCGAGCAAATGTATTCTCTGCTCAGGATCGATGTTAGTCATGGTCAAAATCATATCATAACTGTATAGACATGAACTTTAACATAGCCCCCCAGAAAAAAATTGGATCTTTAATCCAAAGTCGACAATTCTGCTTTTTTATATAAGTATTGAGCCAAAAATGTGGGTCGATTTTTCGTATATTCATCATATAACAGTATCTCCCGATATTCGCGATGTGTTCTGTTTTTCAATGGAATTCTCTGGACCTCGATATAAAATACCTCAGATATTTTGTATTTTGACGATTTGTATTCCTTCAGCCATATGGGTATTTGATACGGCAAAACGTGCCTCATCGAAATAACCATTCTAAACCCTAAGTCTCTTTGGATCAGATCCTTTTCAGAACATTTGGAGTTGATTTAGAGATGTCCGCCTATTTGGTCAGTGTGCACGATAACTCTCGAAGGTAGTATCCGATTTGGTCCCAACTTGATACATGGTAATATTAATGTTAAACATATATCGAGCTTGGAGATGGGCAACATCGGTCCACTCCTTCTGCCACCTCTCCAACCAAATGTCAAAATTTTCAAGGAAAGGAAAGGATCATTTGATTTTGTGTAAAATTTGCAATTGCAATAGTAAATATCGCTCCACTCCTACTGGTACCTCCCCCAACAAGGCGTCAAAATTTTGAATAATTATGTCTCTCATAAATTATAAAATAAACATACGAATTTCATATATTTTAATATTTTTATTAACACGAGATCTGATGTAAAGATGGAAAATATTGGTTCATACCTTCTATTACCTCCCCACAAAGGGTTAACATGTTGAATAACCGTAAACCTCATAGAATGCGAAATAAATATCCAATTTCTTTCCAATAAAATCGGTTGTGAAGGTTTTCTAGGTTTTTTAGTTTTTGTACCATTCCTTCTATCACCTCCCCCCAAAAAGAGGTCAATATTTTGAATAACAACACGCTCCTAAAATTCGAATTGAGCATCCGATTCTCTTAAAATTTCGCATATACCAATATTTCTAAGAAAATAAGATTTGTTGTGAAGATTGTAGATATTGGACCACTCCTTCTGGTACCTCCCCACAAAGGGTCAATTTTTTTAATAAAATAATTTTTTTTTGGAATTTTCATAAAAAACAAAAAAGTCTCCGATTTTCTTCAAATTACACAAATAGGCCCACCTCCCCCATAACTAGTCACAATTTTCAACAATTATATTTCTAAAAACTTGCAAACAAATCAGTAGTTCTTGGAGCGTCTAAAAAGAGAGATGAAATTTTCCAAAAAATATTCGTTTGGCCAAAGGACGGACTCTATTGAAATTGGTGAGAATCGGCTCAAATTTAGATATAGCTCCCCTTTATATCTTCAACCGATTTCGGGTTAATTGTGCATCCAATGGCCAATATCAGACCAATTGTCCTGAATTTTGGCTAATCCGACCGCATAAAGTCTAGAAGTTCATCAGAATTTTTGGAAATCGGTTTAGATATAGCTATAGCCCCTATATATATGTTTCATCCTATTTGGTCTTTAAGTCCCTCACATTCCACAACAATGATATTTGGTACCAGATATCTTATAGATCTGGGGAATACCTTTTGCCGAATTTAATAGAGATCGGCTAAGATTTGGATATCCTTAATGGGATTTTAGGTTTATTGTGCAAATAATGACTAATATCAGCCCAACTGGAGTGAATTTTGGGACGTACTTTTCCATTTGGTGGATCTCGGCTCCGATATATATTTTTATACCCTCCACCATACTATGGAGGGATATTAACTTTGTAACTCCTCGAAATACTCATGTCAGACCCAACAAAGTATATATATTCTTGATCAGCGTAAAATTCTAAGACGATTCAGCCATGTCCGTCTGTCTGTCTGTCTGTCTGTCTGTCTGTTGTAATCACGATATCTTTCGAACGAATTGAGATAGAAGGCAAGTTAAGTTCGTAAATGGGCCATGTAGGTCCACGTTTTCATATAGCCCCCATATATATGTACCTCCCGATATTCGGTATTTTGATGATTTTAGCGACATTATTCACCGGAATTGTTTCAACTTTGGTATTTGAAGTTCGAAATGGATACTACAGCCTATGACAGAATATTATCTGTGCAGGTCCACGTTTTCGTATAGCCCCCATACAACGGTACCTCCCGATATTTGGTATTTTGATGATTTTAGCGACATTATTCACCGGAATTGTCTCAAATTTGGCATTTGAGATTCGTAATGGATGCTACAGTCTGTGACAGAAAATTGTCTATGCGTATAGGCCCCATATATCAGTCCCTCCCTATATTCGGTAGGTACAATACCACCGACATTTTTTGAGATGTCTTATTTGACGTTCGTAATGGATGCTATAGCCTGTGACAGAAAATTGTCTATGCTGGTCCAGGTCTTCGCACAGCTCCGATGATTTTAGCTACATTATTCACCGTTTATTTTAAGTTTCGAATTTGAATATGGTAATGGCTTATGATAAGCAAGGCCTATGTAGGTAAACGTCGTATAGATAACGCCTATATTCGGTATTTTCCAAATATAACGCCTATATTCGGTATTTTTAAAATTTTAACAGAATTTTTTGAGGACTTTATTTTTTGAAAATTTCCAAATTTGTTCCAAATGGTGAAGGGTATTCAAAGTTCTGCCCGGGCGAACTTACTGCATTTTAACTTATTTTAATAATAATAATAACTTGTATCAATCACTGATCTTGACTTAATGAAGGATCATATATTAGGATCATTACTTCACCATTCTCAATTCCAGAAAACTTTTCTGATTGAAGTATGTGATTATTGCGTTTATACTTTTCTGCCAAACTGTGTATACCCTTCATCATGAAGTAATCTGAATTATAATTTACAAATTTTCGTAGATGATCTGTATGACACCTAAAGAACGAAGAGCAATAAATTGCCTTAATCCCTTTTACTGTAGTTTTTTTTATTTATTTTTTATTCAAGCCCTAAAATGAAAATTTGTTAAAATTTATTGTTGTTTTTATAAATAAAATCATACACCTACACACATAGTTAATTAAATAAAAATTAGCCACTTAAATTACATTTTTACAAAAAGAAACAAAACAAAAATACCCTCATTGCTCATCCATTGCTCTCGGCGATAGATAGCTGATGAAGGAAAAGAAGGCGATACCATTTGGTTCTACAATGTATGAAAAGCATTTAATGCAGGGCCATTAATGTTATTTTTGTTGACATTATTTATTCTGAGATAACAAAAACACTCACCTCTCTCTCTCACACTTTGCTTCTCTTTACAGGTGTTACAGCAAGCTGGTAATATTGAAAGACTGGGCCGTTTTCTATGGTCATTGCCACAATGTGATAAACTGCAATTAAATGAATCTGTGCTAAAAGCCAAGGCCGTTGTTGCATTCCATCGCGGTCAATACAAAGAATTGTACCGATTGTTAGAGCATCACCAGTTCTCACCTCATAATCATTCGAAATTACAGAATTTGTGGCTAAAAGGTGGGTGGTGGCGGAGGAATTCTGAATTCTGATATTTTGTAATGTTTTCAAAATCGTGAAATGTATGTAATTGTTTTACTTTTATCTCTTTTTCGTTCCGTTCTGTAGCTCATTATGTGGAAGCCGAAAAACTGCGTGGAAGACCATTAGGTGCTGTGGGTAAATATCGTGTTCGCCGTAAATTTCCACTGCCTCGCACAATCTGGGATGGCGAAGAAACAAGTTACTGTTTTAAGGTAAGTTGAAGTTATAGTGTGTGTGTGTGTGCGTGTGTTTTGGGGTTCCTGGAATCCTTGCTTCACTCAAATTCATTCATGCCTAACATAAGTTTTTTTTTGTGGCGCTGCTGTTGGTGGTGGGGATTTAACTTGTTCCTTGAACTGAAATCATAGTAATGTCCTGCCGCATAACACATGATTTGTGCTGCCTCTGTCTGCACATGTAACAGTTTGTTTCCCTTTTGTTGCGCTGCGCAAGGGGACGATTATGGCCTCAGGAATATGAAATATGTCTGGGAAAATTTTTCTACAATTCCTGGTTGCCAGGCTCCTGGCTCATCCTGCACCACAAAAAGGGGTTGCAATTTTTGCCAATTTCACAGTTCATCTTTTTTTCTGATTTCAAAAAGGCTTCATTTGATTAAAACAAAACGCCAGATTGCAATTTTGTGTGGGAAACAATTTCAATATTTTCGTTGAGTGTTTTTTTATTTAATGCCTTTAAAAAGTAGCATTGCGGACTAATTGGAATTATTTTTGTTGTTATCTCTTCTCCATCTCTGTTTAGGAAAAATCTCGTTCAGTGCTGCGAGATTGGTATACGCACAATCCATATCCATCGCCGCGAGAGAAACGTGAACTAGCCGAGGCCACAGGACTGACAACAACACAGGTAAGTTTTAGAGCCATATTTTAAGTTACTTAGATCCAAAAAAAATCGGTAAAAAATTCAAACAAATACGACCGATTTGTGGATAGCCATAGACCCTCGAAATTAATGAACTAAGGAGCATCATAAATATGTGCACTGCTCCGAAATTGGGACCTACATTGAAATTTGCTGCGAAAAAGTGTTATACGCCCAAAGAAACCAGGTTGGAACCAAAACGATTGGAAAATATCGCCAAGCCCCTCAAAATAATTAACATCAGGAGTGTCAAATGGCGCACCTTTTTGTTCATTTTATACCCTCTATCATACATACATGGGGGTATATTAAAATTTTCATCATTATAAGTTGATTTAGCACTGCCCGTCCGTCCGTCTGTTGTAATAACATATTAAGGTAGGAAGCTAAAATTTTGCACAGATCGAACTTTTGCCTACAGACAGGTCAATTTCGAAGATGGACTATATCGGTCTACGATATCTTATAGCCGTCATATAAAAGTACCCCCCGATATTCGGTATTTTGATGATTTAAGCCAGATTTTTCAATGGCATCGTCTGAAATTCTACACAAAGAGTTCCTTATAAGCCCCTTTACCCCCTGTAAGAGAATTGCCTATATAGAGAAAGGACATTGTATATCCCCAATATACAGGGTGAGATCATAAAACTGCAACCAACTTCAGACTGCTGTCATTTATAAGCCACTCGCCCGACAGCTGTCAAAATTATCAGAGTGACAGTTCATTATATTGTTTACAAGCGCACAAAAGTATTTGGGTGAGAATTTTCCAGAAAAAAAGTTATTCGTGATGGAATTGAAGCGCGATAGTGTGATTTCTTTTTATTTGGCTGGAAAACCACAAGTGGATATCGTTAGAACACTCCAGCCATCCTTTGTCTCGTACTATCGCCCGTTACCGTGATACTGGTAGCGTAGCCCGACGTCAAGGAAGTGGACGGAAGAAAACAGAAACATCCGCAGAAATGGTTCGAAAATTAAAGAAGCGACTTGATCGAAACCCGCGTCGCAGTGGCCGAAAAATGGCTCGTGAGCTGAACATATGGCAATACTCCATACGTCAAATATTGAAAAATGAGCTTGGGGTAAAGCCATTGAAGTTCCAAAAGTGCAAGAACTTACACGGCAACAGAAAGAAAATAGACTTTAAATAGCTAAAGAGTTGATTCGCTTGGCCGAAAGTGGTGAAGTGCAGAATTTGATGAGAAAACATTCGTTGTCCAGCAGTTTGTAAAAGAACAAAATGATCATGTTTACTTGCCCAAGAGATCAGCTGTGCACCTTCGGTTGGCCACGAGAACTCAATCGCCGGCCATGGTGATGGTGTGGGCGCCATAACAGCCGATGTTCGCTCTCCGCTCGTATTAATCGACCGTGGCATCGGAATAAATGCCGAATATTATCGCGAATATATTTCGGAGAGCGTATTACAGCCTTGGGCATGCAAACATTTTGGCCGCAGACCTTGGACATCGCACTCAGCACGCGCCACCCAAGAATTGTTACAAAATGAGGTTCCTCGCTTCATTTCCAGCGCACAATAGCAGATTTTTATGACAAATAATTTAGTAAAATATTTTAACTTGCTACGATCCCGTTTAAAGGGAGTATTTAACCATATTTTGAAAAACGGACAAAAAAGACTTTGCTGACTCGCTTGAGCGTTAACATTTGCGACAAAAAAATGTTTCTTGTTTTTATCTGCAATATTGCCAAATACACTATATACCTAAAAGCAACGGACTCGAAGGAATCTTAATCTGCATATGTCAACAAATTAGGAGATGGGTGGACTTGCCCCCTCTTTCTCTATCTACGCCAATACACGTGTCTTCTTCTTTAGCTCTACTTTCATAATCTACTGGATTATCCCTATAATTATTGGAAAAATTGAAATTTGTTGTGCAGTGTAATATTTATACATAATCTGTTCCAGAACTCAAAGAATGTAGAATTTGGTACAACGATAACCGATTTTCCCTTTAAGATATGGAAAAAATGCAATACTAGTAGATTCTGAAACGAAGCAAAAAATAATCATGTTGCAAATCCCCTATTCTGCATTCTATGACCTCAGTTTGTAACACAAAATTTCTGGTTTCTTTAGAGACAAAAAAAAAATACAATTTTGTGGAGGAAGCCTTAAAATATATGCCAGAGATGAAAGCCTCAAAAACATTTTGTGGAAAGAAAATCTCCAAAGGTCTTTTATGTACGGAAACCCCATAAATTGTCTTTTCTATGCAGATGACCATCTTTAGGTCTGTTTTAAATGGAACACCTGTAAAACATCTTCCCTGGATGGAAGGCAAACAAAAGGTTTTCCGAATACTAGAACCTTATTAAGGTCTTCCGTCCATCGAACCTCCGAATTTTACATCCCTCAAAATTATCTTTCAAAAATTTCACGTTCACGATTGTTATTTCTAAAATATTCAAAATACATATTGTGCATTAATATTAAGATATTTATTTTTAAAATGTTCTAAAACTTTGAAGCTCATTAAAATTTGTCACAAAATTAACAAAACAAAAATCAAAATGTCATTACAAATGGCACCCGGCAAAAACGAGAGAAAAATATTAAAAACATTTGACATCATTTTGACAAATATGTGTAATATAGACATATTACCAAAGCCAACTGGCTAAGGAAAATTGAAATAACAAAACACATTTTGAAAGAAAACCGAGAAAAATCAAGTATCCAAATACTATTGCTGCTGTGATGAAATGCAGATATGAAAGATAAGCCATTCGACATGAACGATGAAAAAACAAAATATGAAAGAAATTATGAAATTAATGTTGAAAAGGCTCATTTATCACGGCTAATGGTGCATGTGTGTGTTGTGAGGGGGAAAGATTTTTAGATTTAAAAAAAATATTTTTATCTTTTATTTAATTTTTATAGAAATTTTAATTATATTTGAAGTCATAAGGAGTTTTTTCTTTATTTAGCAAAATATTTGCATATACATATCTATAAACATGTTTTCCTTCATTTCTATATTTACTCATTGAAAGAACGGATTAGATCCTAGGCCTTTTTTGGGTCATATCCGTTTCAGGACATTTGGAATCGATCTAGGGGCGTCCTTCCGCCCGGCTAGTGGGAGTATTCGATGTCATCCAAACTTGGTACATCAAAATATTACACTGTGCGACAAATTTCAATTTGTTCAATAACAGCGGGAAAAGAGAAAACACGTGTTTCGGCGTGTCTTTGGCAATATTACGAGGAATAAATTTTAACCCCAAGCGAGTCAAAGATAGGGTCTATTTGGTCCTTTTTCAAAATATGGTTAAAAACTCCCTTTAAACGGGATCGAAGCAATTCAAAATATTCTACCATATTATGCGTCATAAAATTCTACTATAGGTCTTAAAAGACGTTAAGAGCCATACTTTGTGAGATTGTGTGCAAATATCACCAACAAAGTATATTTTAGATGGATGACGTCAAGGACAAAAATATTCTTCATCAAAATTCACTATAAGCCACCAAAGAAAATAAATCTCTATTTCAATTGTATACTAAAAATATACTTGCATCAATATTCCTAAAAAACCCCAAAATATTCCCTAACTTTTTGGTAAGAAAAAGGAAAAAAAACCAAAAAAAAAAAGAATAAACCATGGCTAGAGAGGGTATATATCATTTGATACGAGCCTCGTCGAAATAACGGTTTTAGACCCTAGGTCTCCTTGGGCCACATCCGTTTCAGGACATCGATCTAGCGATATCCGTTCGTCCGTCTGTCTGTCTGGCTGGCTGGCGCGCACGATAACTCTCAAAGGGAGTATCCGATTTGATTCAAACTTGGTACATCGTAATATTATTGTCAAACTGAGATGGAGTTGGGAAAAGAGCAATATTGGTCCACTCCTTCTGATACCTACCCCACAAAATGTCAAAATTTTCTAAGAAAATAATTTACTGAACGGGAAGAGAAAGAATAATCCGAACTTGCTTCAACTTTGCAAATACTAATATTTGCATCAGTGCTAGGTCAGGTGTGATCCACTCCAACAAGTACCTCCCCACCTTTTAAATATTTATAAACATTATAAAATATGATGCGATTGTCTTCAAACCCCCCCCCCCACACACACACACACAAAGTGCCACAATTTTGAATTATTACAACTCTTATAAAATGTGATGTAAGAGTCCGATAGTCTTCAAATTTCACACATCCTAATAATTTTAATAATCCAAGGTCTGGTGTTAAGATTGAGTATATCGGTCTACTCCTTCTGGTACCTCCCCCACAAAAGGTATAAATTGTCAAAAAAAAGACTCTGCACAGATATACAAATTTTGCTCCAACTTTGCAAATCCTAATATTTGCATCAGTTCTGGGTCAGGTGCGAAAATGGATAATATCGGTTTACTCCTTCTGGTACGCCCCCCACAAAGGGTCAATATTTTGAATAGTTATAACCCTTATAAAATATGATGTAAGAGTCCGATTGTCTTCAAATTTCACATATCCTACAATTTTTATGAACACAAAATCTGGTAGTAAGACGGAATATATCGGTCCGCTCCTTCCGGTACCTCCCCCACAAAAGGTGAACTTTTCCATGAAGCTCATAAAATGCGAAATTAACATCCGATTCCATTTAGACTTGATACATTTGAATATTTCTATCAACACAGGATCTGTCATAAAGATGGTAGAGATCGTACCATTCCTTCTGGTACCTCTCCCATAAATGTTCAAAGTTTTGAATAACCAGAATGTTTATAAAATCTGAAATAAGCATCAGGTTCTCTTTATATTTCACACATCCCATCATTTCCAGTAACACAAGATCTGTTTTGAAGATGCGATATATCGGTCCACTCCTTCTGGTTCCTCCCCCAAAAAGGGTCAAATTTAACCCATGAAGCAAAATTAGTATCCGATTGCATTCAGACTTGGTACATCTCAAAACTTCAATCAATAAAAGATCTGTTATAAAGATGGTAGAGATTAGACCATTTCTTCTCCCCTCCCCCACATAGGGTTCAAGATTTTGAAAAACAAAACGCTTAAAGAAAGCGAAATAAGCATTAAATTCTCTTTAAATTTCACATATTCAAATATTTTGGGTAACACAAGATCTGTTGTGAGGATGATACACATCTGCCAACCATTCGGGTAACTCACCCACAAAGGTTCACAATTTCCAATACATATATCTGTCATAACTCGCGAAACAAGTTGGCGATTTTTTACAACATACTATATCTAAATATTTCTCTTAACCAGAAATCTGATAAAAATATGAAATTTATTGGAATTAATGATTTTGCATAAAATTGGATATAAATGTTCGATTCCCTTCAAATGTTGTACATACCAATATTTTAATCTGTATTAGATGAAGTATGAAAATGGAATACTTCGGTCAGTTATATCTGTTACGTTACGCATATTTCCACATTTTCCAAAAAGTTGCACATATATCATATAAAGTATAGGAACTAGTCTATATAGTCCAAATCTGGCACGTTGTAATAGTTATATTAGTCTTGGGTCAGATACGAATTTGTCAATATTGGCCAATTGCTTCAGAACCTCCCCCATAAAGAGCCAACAGTTTGAATAATCAAAACGAATGGTTAAGGTTATAAATCTGTCGAGTTAGAGTGATTTCCTTTATTTGGAAATAGCTAAACAAAAAAACTCTAATTTGTTTATATATATTTTATTTTTTTGTAATTTACTTTTTAAATTACATTTTAAAATTGTGCTATTTTCTTCAATTTTTAAAAATATAATATGGCTTTTATTATTATATATGTATATATCTAAATAATATCTATAATTATTATTCCAGGTTTCCAATTGGTTTAAAAATCGACGACAAAGAGATCGAGCTGCCGAACACAAAGAGTGAGTATTCAAATTTTAGAATATTTTCAAAAATTAGCCAACTCAAGCTATCAAACAAATTACCAATTTGACATGTAGAGGTTACAAAAATATTTTTTTTTTCAAAATTCTTGAAAATTAATCTTCATTAAATTTTGAGAAAACAAAAAAAAAATAGTTTTGTTACTTTAGCTTCTGTGATGGTCGGCGCATTATTCAAAACCAAAAAAAAAAAAAAAAAACAAAAACAAGGTGAAAAATTAATGATTTTTACATGAAGAACACTTTGCAGCAGAAAAAAGTGTTTTTCATTGCTGGCTAATTGTTTTTGTTTGTTTTACGTAAAACAACAACAATAACAATGAAAAATAAAGAATCTGAAAAAAAATATGTCAAGGTTTTTATATATTGTATTTAAATATTTTTTTGTTGGCATATCTACCAAATAAATACGTATTTTTGCATGGAAAAATGTTGAAACATTTTCTTACAGCAAGAAAGTGCACAAATTATTTTGCTCTCTCTTTTGAAACAATAACAACAAATGAATATATCAAATGTACAAAGACATGAAAATACATTGCCAAGAAAAATATTAAAACCGAAAAATATATATTCATACATTTTTACATTATACATTTCTTTAAAATTAATATACACCATTTCCATTGGTAATTTGGAAAATGATTTTTCTACAACTAATTTAAAAATAGAAATCAAAAGCAAATACATTTTCAAATATTTTTGTTTTAATTGTTTGTCAAACACTTCAAAATTCTGTTTGTCTTCATCTTCCACGCAGTTGATAAATAGTTTTTCTGCTACAAATCAAATGGCGCTTAAGTATTTTGAAGTTGTTATTGTCATTGCGCTCTCTCTCCTCTCTCTGCGCGACAACATATGGCCACAGCATACCTACCCACATATGTAAAAAGGATTTTGTTGTCCTGGCCAGACAAATGAGCAAACAAGACATTTTGACTTTTGTGTTTTTATTTGCCTTCCCCGAAGAGGTACCGTGACCATCAAAAGGCGGAAACTCTTGAAAATCCATTTTCAAATTGTCATTAAAGTGATAGTGAAAATTAACAGTCGCCTACAGCTGGACAGTGTTGCAAGGACATAATCGACCAAATGGTCTGAACAAATATTTAAAGAGTTATCACGGAGCTGCAGACAATAAATATGGAAATAATTAAGATGGACAATGTCTGTGGTGAAAAGAAAATAACATTTAAATATTCAAAGTCAATGAGTTACAATATGTTAGGGATTGGAAAACAATGACCACAACATGCAGACGAGCCTTAAAAATAATAAAACAAAAATCGTTTATCTTTTCTTTGAAAAAAAATGTCAAAACGCCAAATGAACAAGCGTTCCATTTGACAAAACAAAAATATATATAAGGTTCGAAAAAAAATATATTTTTTGGAAAATCGAGTTTAGCTTCGTCTGTTCTTTTGAAATCAAATCTTGCCAATATCGTCCACTTTTGTTTTTGTGAACAAAAATTCGTTCAACACGATCCGATAACGTAATGGCCACTCCTTGCTGATTTTCGAAGCAAATTTGCACAATTATTCCTCTGGACCAGAGTACGAAAATAAACTATATGAAACGTTTGCAGTCGTTTCGTTCTGTATTTTCTTGAAATTTTGAAACGGAACAAAACCAGTTGAAGTTGCATTTTTTTTCTGCCATTTTTTCACCTTTTTCAGATGTAATTCGAATCATTTAATATGAAATTCAAGAATTTATTTTGTAATTCGTAACACTTAGACTGTATTTCGCAATTTCCATTTGTTATTTGTAACAGATCAATTTAATTTCGATTTCATTTCATTTCTAATCCGAACATTTTCAGTTTTAATTCGAATTATTCCATTTGAAATTGGAATTGTTCTATTTGAAATTCGAATAATTCTATGTTAAATACGAAACCAAAAAAAAATAAGAATATTTTTTTATATTTGCCTTTTCGAATTACAAATAAGATAATTCGAAATACAAATGGAATAATTCGAATAAAAAGTTGAAATCATTCAAATTACAAATGGAATATTTCGAATACCAAATCGAAATATATTTTGAATTATAAATGAAATTTACAAATTACAATTGAAATGTTTCGAATTACAAATTAAATTACAAAATGTTTCGAATAACATGAAAAAAAGATTTAGTCATTTTGAAACGTTTCATGACGATTGGTTCGCAAACGATAAAACTCGGCATCTCTCATCCGAAGTACATCAAGGCAATCGTATTGTTTGTGTATTTCTGACATTGAAAAATTTGTGGTTTTGTTTTGATTGAAGTACAAAACAATTGAAAAAACATAACAGTTTGTGAGCAGTACGTTATCCGTTTTGTTTATTTTCGAACACTGCTCTGGATCGTAATTCGCACTATTTTTTTTTGTTTGTTAATAAAAAGAAGGAACTAGCGCTCCTCTGATTGGAACGAACTGTTACGAATATTAAATGTTGTTTAAAGGCTTGAACGTGCGTCGACAAACGCTTCGGATTTTCTTATTCAAACCAAAATTACCCATTACAAATCGGTTGATAAACACATTATTTTAACACTAACATGTCGCACGAAATAAGTATAAGTATCGACTCTGAATATGATAGGAATAAGACATTATTTTATATCTTACTGGTAATGTCGACGGTATATTGTTGTCATTACTTTTCGCTTATTTTCGCCAAAAGTGATATATTTTTTGTCCACCTTCAGAGTTTGGAAATTTAAAATCGAGTTTAGGACAGACTGAAATGTTCTCTGAACAGTTTCGGTGGTCTTTGTTTATACCTACCAGCATTCTATGGAGGGTATATTAACTTTACCATTCCAATTGTAAATCCTCGAAATACTCATGATAGACCCTACAAAGTATACGTATTCTGGATCAGCGTATAATTCTAAGTCGATGTTCGTCGGTCTGTTGTAATCACACTGTCTTTCGAACGAATTGAGATAGAAGACTAAAATTATAACCCCATATAACTGTACCTTCCGATATTCGGCATTTTAATGATAAAAGCGACATCATTCACCGGAATTTTTTCAATTTTCGTATTTAAAGTTTGTAATGGGTACTGCATCATATGACAAAACATTTCGTTGGCAGATCCAAGTTTTCGTATAGCCCCCCATATTTTTCGAATTTTTTTTTTTAAATTTTCCTTCCAATTGTTGGAGGGTATTTAAAGTTCATCCCGACCGAACTTAACTGCTTTTTTACTTTCTAATTTTGACATCGCTAACTAGGTTCCACGCTTCATTCCAGCTTTTGCCAACTTACTGCCGAAGTGGAGCACAAAGAGGTCCTTCACCGCCTTTTCCGGTAAAATGTACCACAAAAATGTCAGCAAATTAACCATTTCTATTGACAGTCCGTTGGAAAAAATCTAGTTTTAAAAACTCGCATATGATGATTTGGTAGGACTTTGAAAAATAGTTTAAAATATCAATTTTTGAAAATATCTTTTTAATTTTCACATTTTTCAAACGACTATGAAAGCATAAAAAATTTAACCTCCCACTGCGAAATGTCAATTTAATATAAATACTCAACATTTGTGTGTGTTGACCTCCTTTCAGGCGACTAGAAGTGTTCTAAATATCAGGGAAATTATACTCACAATGTAGACAAACATGCGTTGCGTTATGTGGGCTTGGAAAATGGCAAGTGATGCTCACTGCAATTCTCCGGCTCCAAAATTTAGGATTAGGATTAAAATAATTTCAGAAAGTAAAGATCGAGTCCATGCAGAGCAATTACGTATAGTTAAGCCCTCTTCAGGGAGACAACAAGAGGTATTGCTGAGTTTTTCATGTAGGAATCTGAAAGGTTTGAACGTTTTGTGGAATATTCCCATTATTTTCCCATATTTTTTGTGTAATGAAATCTGAAAAAAAAACGGGTTTAATGCCCGTGTTTTTTTTTCTGTCAGCAAGGGCTGACATTTCACATTTCTTCCATTCAAAAAAAGATTTAATTTCCAATTTTCGTGGAATATGAATGGAACCCCGCGTCTGTCTTCCAGGATATATATGAATATGACCTATGTGATTGTCCAAAAAACTCCGCAAGCTTATACAAAATGTACGTAAATACATAAAAAATATGGGTTCTTTGACTGAAGATCGAATAAAAGTGAAAAAGGACTTGGAAAACATTAAGGTAACAATTTCTGACTTTTTAGGACCCAACCTTAAATCTTCTGGCCATAATTTATAAAATATTTTTAGAACAAAAAATCTCATTTTGATGCAAAGAGATATAAGGACAAATTGTTCTTTAAAAATATCCCTTATTCGATTTGCCAGATCTTCAAACTATACCATTTCCTCCATGTTATCCTTAGACTTTAAAATGACAATTGCCCTTTCAAAGGTGTGGTGTAAGTAGGTCTCGTTAGAGTTGGAATCCTCCTGGCACTTCTTTAACCAGAAAAGTTGTTTCCCGAAAAAAATCTCTCTTTCTCTCCGCTTTTTAAATACCAAGGTTTTTTTCAATATTTCCAAAGCCATGGAATTGGTAGCTGTCATTATCATTTTTCTTATAATGAGATAAAGACAATATAAATTTCTTCTTTATTCAAAAAATCAATCAATATCCAAACAAATATCCATCAAAATTAAAACAGCAGCAGCAGCAACAACAACAACAATATTAACTAAGAAAACATTCTTTACGGTGTTTTTTTTATCAGCCTACATTTTTCAAAGAATATTTGGTACAAAAGGACCAAAACCTAAAAAAGATATCAAATTTCCAGTCATCGGTTCTTGTTGTTGTTGGTTGAACTGTGCCTCTATTCCAAGTATAAGGCATAAGGCGACGAACCCAAAATAATGCGAACATTATCAATAGAGTTTGTCCTAAGAGAAGGAGAGAGAAGAATGGGGGGAGAGAGAGAGAGGGAAGAACAAATAAAACAAAATTAAAACTAAAAGACCAATTTCCAATAATTCTTTAGCCCCACGAAAAAAGCGGGATACAGCCA